GGTTCCAAGAAGCATTGTTTTCCCATCGGCTTTTGATGGATTTTAGAGTTCCCAGCCTCTTGGCATCCCGAAGCTCCAAGACGGCCCAAGTGGCCCCTACGGCCGCTCCAAGAAAGCCGAAGAGGCCTCCAACAGGGCCCCAAGACGGCCCACGAGGGCCCCAAGACGGTGCCCGAGGCGCCCAAGACGGCCCGTGAGGGCCCCAAGAGGGCCCCAAGAGAGCCCCAAGAAGGGGAACGCGAATCCAACAGCAGAGCTTTCCGCCCTAAGAGGCCCAAAGGAGGCCCCAAGAGTTCCCAAGTGGTCCGACGAGGCCCCCCAAAGCCCCCAACCAGGCCTCAAATGGCTCACGGGAGACGTACACGGGGCCCCAAGATAGCCGAACAGTGCTCTCGATGCATCAAAATTGCTTCAAGGAGGCCCCGAGAGGCTTCTGGATTGCCCCAATGTGGCCTCGAGCCGGGCCTCCACGCAGCCAAGACGGCCAATTGACTGCTTCAGACTGCAGAATCTTACTTTCCGACTGCCCGGAGAACCCTGACGATGCCCCCAAGGGACCCCAAGAAGCCCCAAGATGCCCCCCCCGAGAAGTACCCAAGAGGTGCCTCCAACAGCCAATTGAGGAAGAACGGAGACCCCCCAGAAGCCATTCAGATGCCCCCACGAAGACCCATGAGGTTCCCAAGAGACCCTCAGGAGGCACGACTATGTCACGCGCCTGTGTTTCATAGCGCTGTCCAAGATCTTTTAGCGCGCCCCCAGCCTGGGCTAGAACCTGAGCGCGCGCGACGCGCGCACGATTGTTCTAGTATGTATATATATATACACACCCAAGGGAGCACGATCGAAGACGAACAGGGCGGTATCGAGGGTTTCGGGTATACGTGTTGAATGACCCCGAGCAGATAAGAGCGAACAGTCTGTCAATTATTTTGTCGTTGTTGTTGTTGAACTCCCACTTCTCTTCTTAAGAAGAAGTATTGATGACCCCCCCTCAGGTAACCGTTGTATTATTCCTATTGATGTGCCCCTCCCCGGGTTCGCACCTTTTTTGCCAGGGCTCGCACCTTTTTTTCATATATGAATGTGTATATACATACATATCTATATATATATATATGTATTAAAGTCTTGAGCCTCAAACTGAGCGGCGGGCCCCCAAGTTACAACAGCAACGGTTCCCGCCAGATTCCTCTTCACAACATATTCCCTCATCGCTCTCTCGCGCTGGACTTCCTCACAAGTTATGCAGGAATCGCGCTTCCGCATGGGACTTCTGTACAATTTACTAAGACGCAGCGCCCTCGACACTCAGGAATCACGCTTTCGCTGTGGATTTCCTCACGATTTATTTGGGAATCGCGCTGTCGCGCGAGACTTCCTCGCGATTCATGCAGGGCGCACGCTTCAGCAACCCGCCTGCTCGACCTGGCCGCTAGTGCCCGCCTTCTCGACCCGCCTGGTAGGGTCTACCCTCACGATCTGCCCGTCTGGCTCGACCACGTGTTCTGCTCCTGGCCGCCCCTCCTGCTACTCTCCTCTCTCGTGCTCGATCCTCCTCCCTCCCCCTGTCCCTTCCTTTCTTCCGTCTTCTCTTCCCCTGCCTTCGGGGCTGCACGAAATACACGTTGCAGGTAAGACAGATATCTCCCCACGAGGGGGCACGATCGAAGACGAAGAGGGTGGTATCGAGGGTTTCGGGTATACGTGCTGGATGACCCGCGAGCAGATAAGAGCAATCAGTCTTATAATTATTGCTGATGTTGTTCTTGTTGGTGGTTATGTTGCTGTTGTTGCTGGTGTTGTTGTTGTTGTTGCTGGTGTTGTTGTTGGTTTATGTTCTTTTTTTCAACCATCCTGTGGTGTTGGGTCCTCGTTTTGAAGAGACAGCGCCCCGCGTTCACTCCTCCTCCCGCTGCCCCCTCCCTCCTGCCATCATCATCATCATCACCATCACCATCATCATCATCATCATCATCATCACCATCATCATCATCATCATCATCGTCATTCTCACCATCATCATCGTCATCATCATCATGGGGCCACGAAACGTGTGCAACCGTTTCGGTATCACCATCATCATCATCATCATCGGCATCATCGACGTCATCATCACCACCATCATCATCATCGCCATCATCACCCGTCACACGTTTCGCGTCCCCATAGGGATCTCCACCGAAGGCCTCAGTGCCACCGCCCGCATGCGTCAGCCACACCCACTTCGGCACACCCCTCACACGTTTCGTGGCCCCATAGGGAGCTCCACCGAAGGCCCCCGTGGCTGCGCTCCCATGCGCCCACCGCACCCATTTCGGCACACCCCTCACACGCTTCGTGGCCCCATAGGAAGCTCCAGCGAAGGCCCCAGTGGCTGCGCTCCCATGCGCCCACCGCACACATTTCGGCACACCCCTCATACGTTTCGTGGCCCCATAGGGAGCTCCAGCGAAGGCCCCAGTGGCTGCGCTCCCATGCGCCCACCGCACAGATTTCGGCACACCCCTCACACGTTTCGTGGCCCCATAGGGAGCTCCACCGAAGGCCCCAGTGGCTGCGCTCCCATGCGCCCACCGCACCCATTTCGGCACACCCCTCACACGTTTCGTGGCCCCATAGGGAGCTCCAGCGAAGGCCCCAGTGGCTGCGCTCCCATGCGCCCACCGCACCCATTTCGGCACACCCCTCACACGTTTCGTGGCCCCATAGGGAGCTCCAGCGAAGGCCCCAGTGGCTGCGCTCCCATGCGCCCACCGCACCCATTTCGGCACACCCCTCACACGTTTCGTGGCCCCATAGGGAGCTCCAGCGAAGGCCCCAGTGGCTGCGCTCCCATGCGCCCACCGCACAGATTTCGGCACACCCCTCACACGTTTCGTGGCCCCATAGGGAGCTCCACCGAAGGCCCCCGTGGCTGCGCTCCCATGCGCGCCCACCGCTACTACTACTACTACTACTACTACTACTACTACTACTACTACTACTACTACTACTACTACTACTACTACTACTACTACGACTACTACTACTACTACTACTACTACTACTACTACTACTACTACTACTACTACTACTACTACTACTACTACTACTACTACTACTACTACTACTACTACTACTACTACTACTACTACTATACTACTACTACTACTACTACTACTACTACTACTACTACTACTACTACTACTACTACTACTACTACTACTACTACTACTACTACTACTACTACTACTACTACTACTACTACTACTACTACTACTACTACTACTACTACTACTACTACTACTACTACTACTACTACTACCGCGCAGCGGCGCGCGGACGACCCGCGCGCGTCGCTGGGACCCCGCCTGGGGCGACCAGCGCGCGTCGCGGGGACTCCGCGCTGCGCTGCGCCCGCAGCCTTGGATTTTTGGAGTGCGCGGGCAAAGAGAAAGGAAAAGAAGGGACGAAAGCGGGCGCTATCCTCGCAAGGGGCGTGCCGACATGGGTGTCGCGGCGTGCGGGCGCTGCCGTCGGGGTTCCTGCGGAGGCTGCCTGCGGCGGCCACGCCCAGTGTCACGAGTGTTCGGACAGGCATGCTCGAGCCATTCACATTCGTATTCATTTACACTAGGCGTAGCCATGATCGCATTCATGCAAATATACTCACTCGCGCGCAGACCCATTCACACTCAGACTCACTCGCGCTCTGACCCACCCGCGTTCATTCTCTGGTAATCAGACCTATTGTATTCCTTTGCGTTGTGTACCCCGCCACGTTCCGGCACACCCCTCATACGGTTCGTCGCCCCCATAGGGAGCGCCACCGAAGAAGATATTCACAATTGCGGTACTCGCAACTGCATCTGGTTGGGTCCTTCGCCAGGATAATGTTTGGTTCTCTCTCTCTCTCTGTTGTTCGACCACCTGTCTCATGTCGCCTCTCTCTTGGTCGGTTTCCATGATTATCTCTGCATGTCTGCATGCAGCCACTATGACAACTGCGCGCTTCTCTCCCCTGGCCACTCCCTCGGACCTCGCGGCGCTTTCGCGCGGAGTTATGTGATGTGCAGGATGCACCATCTCTTGGCGCCGGCATTCCACAGGTCGTTTGGAACGGCGCTCTCGCCCCAGCGCTTCCCACCTCTTGGCGACTCGGCGGCAAGGTTCCCCACAACATCTGCCACACACTGTTGCACGCAAGAACTGTTTGTGGTCCACGCGCTGCATCACCGAATCGTTCCCCTTGACATGATCGTTTACCGCACTTCTATCAGATGCTGGATGTATCTGCCTGCGCCGTAAGTGAGTAAACGGCGTTTTTGCCCTAGTGGCTCAAATGTGTTCTTGCCTTCTCACGACTTTGGTACACATTACCCGTGAGTACGTATGTTCTCATCGCCAGTATAAGTGCCATTATACGCTTCTTTGCGCCTCTTGTCTGCACACCTTTTTAGCTCATCCTGCTCCTGCTTCCCAGCTCCTCTTCTTATTTATCCCGTTCCGCACCATCATCTTTATTCTCTTGTCTGTTTCTGGACTTTCCTCCGCTTACTTGTTCCTCATGTACTGGGAGTCCCTCACCGTGTCGCCCGCCCTCTACTTTCTGTCATACCTCTCACTCCTGACTCTTTCCGCATCCCTCCTCCCGCTTCCTTTCTTCCTACCTCTCTCCTCGATCCCCCCCCCTGCATCCACCATCGTTCCTCCTTCCTATCTCCAACCTCATCGTTCCTTCCCCTTTTCTTATTCACTATCCTCCTCTTCCCCTCATCATGTCACTCATACTATGTTTTATGATCGGATTTCTCCTCCTTATCCTCAGCGTCCTTATGCTTATCCTGCATCGTCTCCTCCTCGTCTTCTTCCTGCTCGTCCTTCCCTCTTCTCCTTCTTCTGCTCGTGTTGGACTATGGCGTCCTCCTCCTCCTCCTCCCTCCCTCCCTCCTTCCTCATGTCGTCTCCTTTCAGCGGCGCTGTCGTCGTCGCCTTTCTGCTCGCCCGGGCACGGCGAGGTGGTGCTCGAGCTGGTGGGGGGCAGGCTGCTGCAGTCGGTGATCGACGACAAGCATGCGCCGTTGGTTGCTCAGGACCCAGCGAGGGGGGAAGGGGGCCACGGGCCCTTGCTCAGCTGGCCTCCTCCCTTGTCGTCTCTCCCTCCTCCTCCACTCTGTGTCGAAGAAGAAAAAACGGCATGAACATAAACTTTTGGCGCTCCGCGCGGATTTCTTGGATCCGCGCCCCTGGCGCGGGGGGTCCAGCGCGGATCCCAGAAATCCTCGCGGAGCGCCACAAGTTTCTGTTCATGCCGTTTTTTCTTTTCCTCTTCTGTGCACCCTGAACAGGGGCCTTCGGCGAGTCGGGAGGATGTTGCCCGCATCGCGCTGCATCCTGCCAAACGGAACTGTCGTGGCTAGCTGTTCGTGTGCCACGTGTGTCGTCAAACTGCTCACGCTGTGCGTTCTCCGTGAGGTTGCGATGAACACCCCGGACTGTCGGCCCGTCAACCTAGTTGATGATGTCAAGCGACGTACAGTCGGATGTGTTAAGGTCGTCAGTCAGCAGTTGGTTCGCGCCGTCCTGCTTGTCTTGCAAGCCATGCAGCAGCTTGAGCTGCCGATACACGTTTCCAAAACTTGTTGGTGTCCGACCGCCTTGAGCGTTCGTTGGTGGACCCCGAGTTGCCGCTTGACGTCAGCCTATTGTCCGGTACCCACCGCGACCTCGGAGGCGACCCAGTTGACGGTGTGAAAGTATAGTTTCCAGCAGCGGGACCCTGCAAGAGACGTGCCCAGATGGACATGTGAAAATTCACGTGGCGACGTCCCTGGCAGGATATGTGAACATCCCCGGAGGGACATGTGAACATCACCGGAGGGACATGTGAACATTCTGGAACGCATTGCTTCTTTGAAACGTCGCGGCGTCCACCCCGCGCATGCACTCTGCCACAGCTCTTGCTTGTTCCTCTGCTCTTTCTCCCCTCTTCACCTGGACGCGCGCATGGCTGCGTGCTACGTCCCTCCTCCGTTACTTCGCGTAGCGTGCGGGGGGGCGAATCGTTAGGGCAAAGTACCCGAACCATTTTGGTTTAAGCACCCGATCGCTCTTGCAGTGATGGAACAAAAAGAGCCATCCCTTTCCCTTGGACCAGTAAGCGCCATACCCGTTGTGACGGTATAGTGGAAGACCAGCGCCACATAAAGCGCACCCGCGTGGCCGTGGACTCGCACCTCAGGGTGACTTCGGTCTGCCATTCAACTCAAACCTGCAGAATCCGTTCCCTGTCGACTTCGACCAGGTGTGAGACTACTTGCGCAACACCGCAGATAGGGAGGGCTGGTTATCAGAGCTGAACCAGGACGATCACTAGTCTCATCTAGTTTTCACACGTTAAGAGCCTTGACGTCTACACAATGGCGTACAGACCGACATTTTTGCGGCTGGTGCGGACTGTTGATGCGCCGTGCCCTGCCGCTACAGCCGCTTCTGGGGCTGCGGCAGCGGTGGGCCCGGCGGATCTTGCTGGGGACCATGATCGCAGCAGGTCGCCGAGGCGCCCGGCTCCGGAGGATCAGCCGTTCCTTCGACTGAACGTAAGAGGGACCCTTCGCCAGAGTGACCTTTGGTGCGGGCCCGCTGGGGCTCCCCGATCGCCGAACGCGATGCGACAGTAGCGTCCTGCGCGCCTGTGTTTGGTCCCTCCGCGGCCCCCAAAAAGCCGCGCACCAAGGGTCACTCTTGGTCTCTCTTACCCAGGGTCACTCATTTCGTGGTAGGCCTATAGAAATGCCGGGACGGTCGGTCCCTGCTCAAGGGGGAACTTCTGCGGTAAGCCGTGGTCCATGTGGAAAGCGCGAACGCGCAGGTCGCCCAGGAAGCCCTCGCGCGAGATGCTGGACTCCAGGGTCAACTTCGCGGAGATGTGAGATCTCGCTCGAGGAGGCTTCTGCCGCCGATGCCGTGCTCCAGCGGACCACGGCTGCGGAGAAGATCGCCGTTCATTTCCAGGCCGTTTGCTAGCGCAGAGCTCTCAGAGCGATTCGGAGCGCTCTGGAACGGCCGCGGTGCCCGATCGGATCATCCTTCAGGCCCACCCGAGCTCAGAGATCTCCGATTTGTCTCGGTCCGATTTTGTCCCAGTCCTGCTGTGGGCCTTGGTCTTAGGAGAAGGAGGTGGAGGCTCTTCCCAGCCGCACTCGTATGTGTCCTCTTCCCAGCCCCGCCCAGCTCCGCTCCCGCGGCTGCATCCATGCCCATCTGCACAGGAGGAATAGAAGGGATGACAGGAGGAGGAGGAGGAGGGTGAGGAGGAGAAGGAGGAGGAGGAAGAGGAGGAGGATGAGGTTTTATTCAGCCGCCCTCCTATCCGTCCTCTTGCCCGCCTGGCCCATCGGGGCCCACCCCCCTGGCGCGAGCGCGATCGCCAGCGGCGGCGGCGAGCGCGCTTGCGCGAGAGTTTGCAGGAGAAGCGCGCCGTCGTGAGGATGTGCTCCGAGGCGCTGGTCTACATGCGGCGGTTCCCGTGGGGGGGAAGCGTATCCGTATCCTCGCGGGCCGGGCCCCTGGGCCGCAGGTCCATGGATCACTACGGGGTGCTGTTTCGCGGATGCCCCGCCCAGAGCGTATTCATGCGACCGCGTATCCACGGGATCGCGTTCAAGAGTTCAGACCGTGAGGGCGCGGATATGAATGTGTTCGCCGCTCGAGAGGTTCGGGGTGATCCACCGCGACTTCCGCGGCTGCAACATGTTCCTGCAGGAGGGGGGCCCAGAACGACGACGACGACCACGACGACCACGACGACGACGACGACGACGACGACGACGACGACGACGACGACGACGACGACGACGACGACGACGACGACGACGACGACGACGACGACTGCAGCATGCTTCCGCAGGAGGAGGAGGAGAAGGAGGAGGAGGAGGGGTAGGAGGAGGACGAGGAGGAGGAGGAGGAAGTGGAGGAGGAGAAGGATGCGAGAGAGCGCCGAGAGAGGGCGAGGGGGAGGGCATGTGGGGGATGGGGGAGGGCGGCGGGCCCAGGGGGGCGGCGGAGGAGGGGGGGAGGAATGAGGAGGAATGAGGAGGAAGAGGAGAAGGACGAGGAGGAGGAGGAGGAGGAGGTGGAGGATGAGCAGGAGGAGGAAGAGGAGGAGGAGGAGGAGGAGAAGGAGGAGGAGGATATTGAGGAGGAGCAGCAGGGAGGAGAAGGAGGCCGGAAGGAGGAGGTGGAGGAGGAGGAGGAGAATGAGGTGGAGGATAATGAGGAGGAGCAGGGAGGAGAAGGAGGACGGAAGGAGGGAGAGAGGAGGAGCAGGGAGGAGGAGGGAAGGAGGGAGAGAGGAGGAGCAGGGAGGAGGAGGGAAGGAGGGAGGGAGGAGGAGAAGCCATACCTTCATCGCCTGTGAAAATCCAAGGCGGGCGATTTGTTCTGTGTTGTCCGCGCCTCGGGGGTACCTCATCGGGCTCTGAGACCGTCAGCGAGCGATCTGGGGCGAAGAACCAGTCCCCAGGAAGGGGCTGATACATATGAACAAGTCATGACATCGGAGGTCTGGGGAGGGGGCGAAAGATGATGCTGATGATGATGATGATGATGATGATGATGATGATGATGATGCTGATGCTGATGCTGATGATGATGATGATGATGATGATGATGATGATGATGATGATGATGATGATGATGATGATGATGATGATGATGATGATGATGAGAGGAGGAGGAGGAGGAGGAGGACGAGGAGGAGGACGAGGATGAGGAGGAGGAGGAGGAGGAGGAGGAGGAGGAGGAGGAGGACCAGAGTATCCCCATAATGCGTCAACGATGCTAGTCCTTCTTCATTGCAGGACACGGCCCGCTGAAAGAGGAGCACCCCGCGTGCCTGCCAGTCCGGCGAGAGCCCGCTGCGAAGCAGAGTTGCCTCGCACCGTGCTGGTGAATGAGAAGGGAATCGAACATGCAGAACACATAACGGGCCTGTTGTCCACCACCGCCACCATCAGCTGGAGGGGCAGGGGGTCCTCCTCGTCCTCCTCCTCGTCCTCCTCGTCCTCCTCCTCCCCCTTCCCTTCGTCCTCCTCCTCCTCGTCCTCCTCCTCCTCCTCCTTCCCCCCATCCAACTTGTGGTGGTGGTGGTGGTGGTGGTGATGGAAAACAGGCCCATCAAAACAACCTTTCAGAGCGGTGCGCATCCAGGCCCCGGGTCTTCAGGAGCCGCCCCCGCCCGTGCGGCTGGCTGCGCGAGAGAGAGAGAGAGAGAGAGAGAGAGAGAGCACGCCTGGCCACGAGGCGGAGGAAGGCTCTGCAGGCGAGGGCCCCGCGTTGAGAGAAGGCGAGCCGCCCTGCGCCCGTGCAGCCGCTCCGCTGCCGTCGAGCTTCTCGGCCGTCAGCGACGCTGCCAGGACGTCTCGGGCGAGGGCCTCCCTGTTGCAAGGAAGCAGCAGGGGCTCCGTCCTCGACGCCTGGGGATGCTGCGCGTTCGGACGGGGGCGTGCGCCTCGCCACCTGCGCGAACCCCCACTTCGAGGCGGAGCCGCCACCTGTCCCGAGAGCTTCCGCAAGCTTTGCGGCCGAGCGTGCGCGGCGCTGACGCGGGAGCCCCGCCTTTTGACAGCCATCTGTCTGCATTCCCGAAGTTGCTGCAGCAGTTCAGACAACAGAACTGCGTGCGGCGTTACGGCGAGAGCCGCATCTTGACAACCATTTGTCTGCATCCCCGAATTTGCTGCAACACTTCAAACCGAATTGCGTGCGGCGTGACGGCGAGAGCCGCATTTTTGAAGACCACCCGCCTGCCATCCTCGGAAACGGTTGGGGATTGCTCACGTAGACGTCTCCAAGCGGAACGCCCCGCCCGCCCGACGGACACGCGTTCGGGATAGTGCGGCAGGGGGGCAGGGGTGAGATGGAAAGGGGCAGCTGAGGAGGCTACGGAGGATAGGGAGATGTACTGCCCCGCTTATGACTGAGAAACCTCCCCCGGAAAAGCTGGTCCAGCGTCTCTTGACCAGCTTGCCGGAGAGCTGGCTCAGTTTCTTCAGGGGATTGGCAGCCTCCGGTGCCGGTTCGCGCCGGTTCGGCCTCAAAAGAAACGATTCCGGTTTGGATGGGGGAGCAGGTATACACGCCGGTCGTTGAAAGCAGGTATTTTCGCATTCCCAGATCCCAATCTACTTCAAGCGCCTTCCTACTTCAAGAATCGGCACGTTTTTGCTGTGTTTTGTTATTCTCTTGGGGGGCCTGGACCCAATCAACTTTATCCGCCTTCCTACTTCATGTTTTTACCTACCTCTTCCGACCGACGTGCATCCAGGTCGGCCGAAGTTTTTTTTGTTGGCGTGGGTCTCAGGGCACCTCCAGAAACCTGAAGATTCGGGAGGCCTCGGAGGTCTTCCGGATCGGTGCGGGCGGAGGGGAGAGTATAGTCCTTCTCTCTCACCTGTCTTGCTCCTCCTCCTCCTCCTCTTCTCCTTGGCCTCCGGGGGGGGCGCCCTCGTCGAAGACGCTTGCGCTGGACTCTGGCCCCAGGGATTGTCCTGGCCAAGGCCAGTTGGGGTGTGCATGTAACGTCGTCCTTGAGTTCCTTGTCGTTCTTCTCTGCCTCCTGTTCATTCTCCTCCCCCCCCCTTACCCCACGTCGTCGTCCCACTCCTCCTCCTATTCCTTCTCCTGCTCCTCCTCCTCCTCCTCCTCCTCTTCCTCCTCCTCCTCCTCCTTCCCCTCCTTTTCCTCCTCCTCCTCCTCCTCTTCCTCCTCCTTTCCCTCCTGTCGCACTGCCGTTGTGATCCTGGACCGTCTCGGCTCGCCAAGCGATCTTCGCACAGCGCACATCACGTCTGCAGAATGGCCCCTGCGGGTCTCGGACTGGACCGTCGTCCGTGGGCACTTGCGCAATGCCCAAGCTCATCCAGGGCTCTCCAGGAACGGCACCGTGTTGAGAGAATCGTGAAGTTGATACCTCGCCCTTCGGCGGAGGCTTGCAGAAGGCCCACGCGAGCCAGTGGGAACACAGCTCGCGGGTTGCCAGCCAAGGTGCCACCGGCTTTCGAGGAGGGGAACAAACACGGACACACTTCATCGTCGCTTCCCCAGAAGATGCGGAACGATATGGGAAGTTGGGGGGAAGACGAACACCTAGCAGTATGGTGAAATTTGGGGAATCCTGGGACATTTGTCTATTTATTTGTGTGTCCCAGGGCTCCTTTAGCTCTTCACTCCTACTTGGAGCACTTGGAGCGGAGCCATCTGGGCTTCGTGAAGGTTGTGCTGGAGGCAATCTGGGCCTCTCTGGGGAAGCGGCAACCACCTCGGGAACGGCCACCTCTTGAAACTCGCAAAAACTCAGCAGAGGGAAACACAAACACACACAGCAGACACAATTTCTTCATCGTCGTCTCCCAGGAAATATAAGAAAATATTGGAATCGGGGGGAACACGAACACCCAGAAACATGGGACAAGATAGGGAACCTTGGAATTCGTGCGTAAATATATGTATATATTGTTTTGTGCGTTCCAGGGCCCCTTCAGCAACGAGGAGCCGTTTCTCCCGCAAAAGTCCAGCGGTAGCCGCCGGAAGGGCAAGTTGCCCCCGACCGCGAGGTGAACGCCAGCGATCGCAAGGTTGTCGAAGTCGGCCTCGTTGCTCCCTCCCTTGGCGGTACGATTGCTGCTTGGGCCTGCGGCCACCTGCGAACCCTACCCATGCGACGCAAATCGAGATGGACGCAGTGATTTGTCAACGCGGGGACAATGCTGGACACCTCGTTGAGCTGTCTAATCATACCTCCGCGCGTTACTGATCACCTGCTAGAAGGATGCAGTGCAATTCCGTGTCAAAGCGGGGCTCTTTCCTGAACGGCAGGCCCATATGGTATTGGTCTGTCATCTCTATGGGAACCAAGCCAGTGTGAGATCATGAAACTTTTCGAACGGAGAGTGTGTTACATCACCTCGTATGTGTTGATGGTGCGATTGTTGACTGTCTTACTTGCCAGCATCTGTGTGCTCGTTGTGCTGGTAGGTTGCGTCATGAGACAGGCTCACAGACGAGTCGATCCGATCCTCATCCGTTCCCCTTCTTCTTCCCCTTTCTCGCTCCTCCCGCTCCCCCTTTTACTATTACGTATTACGAATACTACTCTTCTGTATCCCCTGGCCCTGTCCGGAAGGTATTCGGCCCTCCCCGCATATTCTGCATGTTAAGCAGGAGTTTGAACGCTGATTTTTCGTATTGTCTTGTATACTCTGATTGTTTCCAGTGCTTTTTAAGTGGGGCTCCCGCTGCAGCGTCGGCCTCATTTTTGGATCGGCGCTTCGCTCCCGTCGTTCAGAACGGCGCTCTCACCCCAGCCGCTTTTCTAGACGGAGTCCTTCTACATCATTGTGCCGCGCTTTCCCTGCTCAGCCTTCTTCTGGTCCCCTGCCCATCCCGTCCCGCTACTTCCACACCAGCTCTTGCGTCTGCTGCTCGTCCTCGTCCTTCTCTTTCCTGGTCCTCCTCCTTTTCTCTCCCTCGTCCTCCTTCTCATCCGCCACCTCCTCCTCCAACGCACGCATCTCCCATGCTCCAGATGTTGCGTATCACGGTAACGGGTCCTTCTCGGAGTTTCAGGTCCGTTGTGGCACCCTCGGCGGACGGAGCATCCACACAACGGAATGGGCTGGGCTGGGCGGGAGGGGCAGGATACCAGATGTATGGCGCGAGCGCGCCGAGGTTGCCCCCTCACCCCTCTCCCTCCTCCTCCCCCTTGTCATCCTCCACCTTCTCCTCCTCCTCCTCCCCCGCCTGCTGCCCCCCTTCCCCTCGCACTCCCCCCCCTTCTTCCTTCCCCTCCCCTTCCCCTTCCCCTCTCCCCCTCCCGCCCTGGCTGCGGGAGCCCCGTCAGGAGCGCGCCCCCCAGAGCCGGCTGAAGGTCATCGACCTAGGTTCTCAGCCATCGCTCCTGCGCGTTACACCTCGGAGGAGGCGGAGAGTACGTCGACGCCGACGACGTCGACGTCGACTCCCCCAACCCTGCGGCGCCGACGTCGACCGACGTCGACCTCGACGCCGACGGCGCCGTCGACGTCGACGCCGACCCCCCCGCCCTCTTCCTATACCTCCGCATATCCGAGGCAGTGGCTTATTCGTGTCCGCCGCCTGGGGTGCTGATCCTCCTGGACCTCGTGAGGCGGTGGGCACGGATGTGCTCTTGCACCCTGGGGCCAGATGTGCCCACATCCACCGCCCCCCTGGGGTCCTGGGAGATTAGCTCCCCTGGTGGTGGGCAAGTCTCAATCCCTGCCTCGCATCATTCCCCTTCTCCTCGCCCTGTTCCTCCGCGCGCGCGAAATTTCGCTCGGGAAGAGAAGGGGTATGAGGGGGAGGAGGAGGAGGACGAGGGGGAGGAGGAGGGGCTGGGGGAGGAGAAGGCGCAGAGGAGGAGGGAAACCGGAGGAGAAACAGGCTGCCGCTGCTGCCGACGACGCTCATGACGCCGACGACGATGGCGATGATTGTGAAGGTGGCGACGACGAATATGGTGGTGAGACTGTCGATTATGATGGAGATGCGGATGAACATAATGCGGTTGCTGATGCTGGTGATGACGACGATGACGATCACGATACGTCTGATGCTGGAGAATGTGATTCTGATTACGATGGTGATTCTACCGCTGCTGGCGGAAAACCGGGGGGGGGTCACTGGGGGGTCCCTAACCCGTCCCCCCCGCCCCCTTGGAAAACCGGGGGGGGGGGTCACTACCGATTCGAACCCCTCCCCCCCGCCCCCCCAGTCCATCATGAAAAGGAAGGGGGGGTCACTACCGGTTCGAACCCCCCCCTCGAAACCTCGAAAACCGGGGGGGTCACTACCGGTTCGAACCCCCCCCCCCGCCCCCCTCGAAAACTGGGGGGGGGTCACTACCGGTTCGAACCCCCCCCCCTCGCCGCCGGCAAACGATTCCCGCTCGCTCGTCGGGACAGCTGGACAATGGTGGGGATGCTGGGAACGGTGGTGGTGGGGACAGTGGTGCGGAGACAGTGGGACAGTGGTGCGGACAGTGGTGGGGACGGTGGTGGTTGGTGGAGACAGTGGTGAGGGGACAGCGGGACAGTGGTGGGGACAGTGGGACAGTGGTGGGGACGGTAGTGGTGGGGACAGTGGTGAAGGCGGTGGTGAGGACAGAGGTGGGACAGTAGTACACTGGGGAAAGTAGTGGGGACAGTGGGGACAGTGTGACAGTGATGGGGACAGTGGGGACGGTGCGGTGGGACAGCACAGTGGGACAGCGGCGGGGACAGTGGGACAGTGGTGGGTACAGTGGGGACAGTGGGACAGTGGTGGGGACCGTGGCGAAAGTGGGGAGAGTGGGACCGTGGTGGGACAGTGGTGGGGAGAGTGGGGACAGTGAGACACTTGTGGGGGCACTTGTGGGGACAGTGGGGACACTGGTGGGAACAGTGGGACAGCTCAGTGGGACAGCGGCGGGGACAGTGGGACAGTGGGGACAGTGGGACGGTGGTTGGGGCCGTGGAGAAAGTGGGGAGAGTGGAACTGTGGTGGGTCACAGTGGTCGGGACAGTGGGGACAGTGGGACAGTGGTGGGGGTACTGGTGGGAACAGTGGGGACGGTGGTGGGAACAGTGGGGACAGTGGTGGGAAAGGTAGTGGTGGGGACAGTGGTGTGGGGACAGTGGGAATGTGGTGGAAAGAGTGGGACAGTGGAGGGTACAGTGGTGGTGGGGACAGTGGTGAGGGCGGTGGCGAGGACGGTGGGATCATGGGACAGAGGTACAGTGGGGACAGTGGTGGGGACAGTGGGGACACCGGTGGGAACAGTGGGACAGCTCAGTGGGACAGCGGCGGGGACAGTGGGACAGTGGGGACAGTGGGACGGTGGTTGGGGCCGTGGAGAAAGTGGGGAGAGTGGAACTGTGGTGGGTCACAGTGGTCGGGACAGTGGGGACAGTGCGACAGTGGTGGGGGTACTGGTGGGGACAGTGGGGACGCTGGTGGGAACAGTGGGGACAGTGGTGGTGAGGACAGTGGTGCTGGGGACAGCAGTGGGGATGTGGTGCGGACGGTGGTAGGGGCCCAGGAGTCGTTTGCTGGCTGTGAGCGTGGGGGGGAGGGGGTTCGAACCGGTAGTGACCCCCCCCTGGTTTTCGAGGGGGGGAGGGGGGTGGGGTTCGAACCGGTAGTGACCCCCCTTGGTTTTCGAGGGGGGGGGGTCGAACCGGTAGTGACCCCCCCCTGGTTTTTCTGGAGGGGGGGGGGGGGAGGGGTTCGAACCTGTAGTGAACCCTCCCGGTTTTCCAGAGGCCGATTCGAACCGGTAGCGACCCCCCACGGTTTTCGGGAGGGGGGGGGGGGTTAGGGGAGGGGGCGGTTTTGCCGGGGGGATGGGGGGGAGGGAATTTCGGAGGGGGGGGGAACTCCGGGTTCTGGAGGAAGAGGGGGGGGGGGGGGGCAATTTTCCACAGTAAAGCGGGGGTGGATCACGCTCTCTCGCTGATGATTTATGCTGATGATGCTGCTGTTGTTAATGATGTTGTTAATGATGAGGATGATGATGATGATGATGATGATGATGATGATGGAGATGGAGATGGAGATGGAGATGGAGAAGGTGATGAGTGTGATGCTGCTGATGGGGATGAGAAGGATGATGGTGCTACGACGACGATGGTGATGATGATGGTGTTGATGTTGCTGCTCATGATGATGTTGACGCGATTGATCATGATACTGATGCTGATACTGATAGTGATGAAGATGCTAATGATGAGGATGGCCATGGTGATGACGGCGCTGGCGATGATACTCATGGTGATGATGACGGGTGATGGTGATGGTGGCGATGATAGTGTTCGTGACGATGCTGATGCTGCTGATGATGATGATGACGATGAAGGATGATAAGGATGATGATGACGACGACGATGCTAAGGCTACCTGTTCTGATGAAACTGATGATGATGACACGCATGAAATGTGCGATCATGACTGTGGTGACGATGATGGTTACGATGATGGTGATGACGACGACGATGACGACGACTAGTATGCTGATGGGGTTCATGCTGCCGATGCGGCTGATGACTCTGAATCGTGTGATCATTCTGATGAGTATGATGGTGATGCCGATGGTGGTGATGCTGATGATGATGATGACGATGATGTTGATGATGATGCTGATGATGACGATGAGGATGCTGATGCTGATGATGCTGCTGATGCTGATGATGATGCTGATGATGATGATGCTGATGCTGCTGCTGATGATGATGCTGCTGCTGATAGTGATGACGATGGTGTGGGTACTGATCACGTGATGAGTATGTACCGTGGCGCGCCACTGCACATACCCACACCCCTGGTTGGTTATTCTCAATCTGTGAGGCCAGGGGCTCGCGTCCCATTCCCCAGGGCAGCTGTTTCTGCCCCTGGATGGTTTTCGGATCGCCCGTGACGCCCGAGAACGGCCCCCAGAGGCCGCACATTGCGGAAGTTGGTTTCGAGACGTTGGAGGTTTGGGTGGTCCAGCGTTCGCTTCCGATGTGGCTTGCGCGGCTCGTCGCCTTGAGGTTCCAGCGACCCGCCCGCGTCAACACCCCCTTGCGCTCGGCGCGCGCGCTGTGACAGCTGCGCTCACCCCGGTCGGACACGAACGCGTGGGTGCGTCATCTTCCGCACCTTCCCTGGGGGGGAGGAGGGGGGGGGCAGAGGCTCCAGGAGGCCGCCAGCAAGCAACAGAGGCCCCCCTCCTTGATCCTTTCCCTCCTTCTCCTCCTCCCACTGCTGCTCCTCCCTGGAGAGGTTTCATGATCTCCACCGAGCCGCCGCAGCAGAAGAACCCGAACGCCGCGGTGCGCTGCGCGTGGCAAGGCCCTCTCGCCCCGCGGCGGGCAGCGGCTTGCAGGGGATTCGGAGGGTATAAGCAGGATTCTAATTCAAACGCGCGCGAGGAGACGCAGGAGGAGCAGGAGCAAACTGATGAGGATGATGATGATGGTGATGCTGATGATGATGATGCTGATGATGAGGATGATGCTGATTAGGATGATGAGGATGATGATGATGATGATGATGATGATGATGATGATGATGAGGATGATGATGATAATGAGGAGGAGGAGGAGGAGGAGGAGCGCCAAGAGGATACAGAGGCCTCGGAACTTGCTGGGGCGAGCTCTGGAACTCCAGAGGCGGCCTCTGGAGGCCTCCAGAGACCTCTGCAGATCAAGCAGCGTGGCGACGTAGATGATGTTGATGCCAATGATGGTGATGAGGGTGATGAGGACGATGATGACACTACTGATGAGGATGCAGCTTAGGATGATGATGGTGATGATGATGGTGAGGATGATGAGGACACTACTGATGAGGATGCAGGTGACGATGGTGACCCACTGGTTAGACTATCTTGAGCCGCCTTGAGGCTGTCTTGAGATGCTGTCGAGCTGTCTTGGGCCATCTTGAGCCATGTTGTTGTCGTCTTGGCTGTTTTGGAAGCAGTCTTGGAGACCATCTTGGCCGTGTGGAGGCTGAAAAGACCGCCAGTACGCAAGTTCAGAAGGCGCGTTGTTTGTTGGGGGTGCGTGCGAGGAGGGGGGGGCCCTGAATACTTTACACAACATGTGCCAGCGGACAACGCAACGCATTCTAACACGCCCACTCTGTGCAGGCACGGTGGCGGATTTGTTTTCTTGACATGTCGGAGGAGTGTGCAGCTCCGCTGCAGTGTGGGGGGCTTAGTAGGCAGGCGTTGCTCGGGGAGGCCCGTACGTGGCAAAACCTGTCCCGCGGGGGGAGGGCTTGCGGTTGCTCCTCTTCTGCCCCCTCTCCGTTCTCCTCCTCCCTCTCCTTCTCCTCCTCCTCCTCCTCCTCCTCCTCCTCCTCCTCCTCTCCCTCCTCCTCCTCCTCCTCCTCCTCCTCCTCCTCCTTTACGATTACAACACATGGATACTACCCTTCTCTCTCCCCCGAAGTCGCCGAAGTCGCTGGTGACGTGTCCTGGCAACCTCCGCGAATCGTTTTGTACATCGGATGCCGCCGAGTTGAGAACAAATCTTTGTTAATTCCAATCAAAGCGCTTTCAGTCCTTTCAGAATGGCGCTCCCGCTACAGCGTGGGCTCGATTTTCCCGTTCTCAGTCCTCCAACATGTCATACCCGTTGCAGCGCTGACCTCATTTCATTGTTGCGGTTCTCCCAAGTCGTGCTACTTCTGCAGCGTTGGCTTCGGTTCCGCCCTTCCACTCCTTCCAAATCGTGCTCTCACTGCAGGGCTGGTCTCATTTCCGCGGTTTCGGTCCTTCGAAATCGTGCTCCCGTTGCAGCGCTGATCTCATTTTGCGGTTCCCGCTTTCCAAACCGTCCATTGCATTCCCTCCCTGTGTCATTTCTGGTTTCCCTCTGGCCTTGTTGTCGAAATGAGTCGCGATCTCGACGTGACGACGTCGGCTGTGGCCGTGCTCTTCTATGCCATGCTAAGCCGTGCTATACCATGCATCGCGTACACTCTCGGGATCATTGCCTTGTTCGGCATCCGGCGGTGCGAATAGACGGAGAATCTATGCAATGGCAAGGGATGGGCGGGAGAGGGGTAGGACGTCAGACACGACGCTTGCGCACCTAGCTTGTTCTGCTCCTTTGTCCTCGACCCGTCGGACCCCGGGGATCTCGACGCCTTCCCGGGGACCAGCTTTTCATCCTGAGTCGTTCTGCGACTGTCCGTGGCCAGAACACGGCCTCAAGGGCCGAAAACGTCCCTCCTCATCCTCCTGCTCCTTATCCTCGTCGTCGTCCTCCTCCTCATTGTCCTCCCCCTCCCGCTTGCGCTGCTCATGCTTCTCTCCAGCCTGCCTTTGCTCGCACTGCGGCTGCTCCTCGTCCTACTGTTCCTGCCAGCTGTTGCCCCTCCCCCTGCTTGTGCTCCTAGTCGTCCTCTTCTCCTCCTTGCTCTTCATCCTCCTCCTGCTCCTCTTCCTCCTACGCCTCATCGTTGTCTTTCTTCCTCCTCGTCCTTCTCATCGCCCTCGTATTCCTATTCATCGTAGAGCTCCTGCCGCCTGGTCCTCCTCCTCCTCCTTCTCGTCCTCCTCCTCGTCCTCCTACTCCCAGTCGCCCTCCTCCTCATCCTCCCCCCACTGCTCCCCCTCACGTTACTACTTGTGCTGCATCTCCCCCATCCCCCTCCTCATCTCCTTCATCCTCCTCGTCCTCGTCCGCATCCCTCGTCTTCTGTCTTCTCCTCCTTTGCTGGCCTCACATTCCCCTCTTTCTACACTTTCTCCGACTCCAAGTTTCCACTGTGTAATTTTCTTTTTCAGCATGACTTTCATTCTATGGGTGCAGATGACCCTGCTTCTGCTGCTGCTCTTCCTTCATTGTGACTTCCTCGCGGCCGGGACAGGAGACGCCACCAAAAAGGTGCGCTTCGACTGGGCCCCGCCAGAGGTGCCAGCAGGAAGCAGGAACGTGAGGAGCACGGAATGATGACGATGATGACGATGTTGCTGCTGTTGATGGTGACGACGATGATCAGGATGGCAATCGTGATACTGATGGTGATGATGATGTTGATGACGATGACGATGGCGATGATGATGCTGATGAAAAAGACGACGCTGATCATGGTGGTGATGATGATGATGGCGGTATCGATGCTGATGCGGATGCTGCTGATGATGACGGCGATGATGCTTATGAGTGTGAGAATGACGATTTTGACGATGAGATGATGATAAGGTTGATGATGATGATGGTGGTGATGAATGTGAAGATGATGATGGATATGGTGGTGATGATGCTGATGATGACCATGATGATGATGATGGTGGTGTCGATGATGATGATGATGATGAGTATGATGATGATGCTGGTGATGATGATGATGATGATGATTATGATGATGCTGATGACGATGATGATGCTGACGCTGCTGATGATACTGGGGATGAAGATGATGATGATGATGATGATGATGATGATGATGATGATGATGATGATGATGCTGATGATGATGATGATGATGATGGTGGTGGTGGTGGTGGTGATGGTAGTGGTGATGGTGAGAGTGCTGATGATGCTGCTGATGGTGATTGTGATGGTGCTGATGATAATTATTCTCATGGTGACGACGACGACGCTGGTGAGGATGACGATGATGGTGACGCGGGCGACGACAATGATGGTGGTGATCGTGATGGCGAGAGTGATGATGCTGATGCTGTTTCTTGCGATGAAGGCGTTGTTGATCTTGTTTTTTTGTATGCTGATGTGGATGATGTGGGTACTGGTGTGGGTCAGGTTGAGGATTACATAGCGGTCGCTGTTGACGATCGTGATGGTTAAACCGTCGATGCCGACCGGTTGACGAGGACCGTTGGTGTACTGTTGGTGATGATGATGTTGCTGATGATGATGATGATGATGATGATGATGATGATGATGATGATGACGACGACGTTGATGAGGAGGAGGAGGCGGAGGAGGAGGAGGAGGGGGAGTCGGAGGAGGAGGAAGATGAGGATGGCGATGCTGAACTGCTGACGGGGAAGGAGGAAGGGGATGACGAGGATGACGAGGACGACGACGATCATAAGGACGAGGAGGGAAGCAAGGGGGGGAAGGAAGACGAGGACGAGAAGGGAGGAGGGGGTGGTGGGGTGCTGAGAGTGCTTGCTGAGGAAAGCACCTGCAGGGCAAGACTTCTTGCAAGGTGCCCTCGGGACCCTCTGGGAGTCCTGATCTCCAGTTGGAGGCTGGCGGGCAATCGGACCTGGCCGAGTGTGCCTCGGAGGGGGGTGGGGGGGTGAGCTGTCGCTGGCCCTTGGTCGGTCTCGGTCAGGCACCGTCGATGGGACACGGTGTCTCGCTTTGGTGGCAGCCAGCTCGTTTCCCAGGACAGAGAGATAGCGCGGGAGAGAGAGAGAGAGAGAGAGAGCGAGAGAGAGAGATTGAGGAAGTGAGAGAGAGAGAGAGAAAAATAAAGAACGAGAGAGAGAGAGAGAAAGCGAGAGAGAGAGAGAGAGAGAGAGAGAACGAGAGAGAGAGAGAGAGATCAACAAAAAACCATACATACATAAAGAAAGGAATAACTGAAGACATAACGACACATATCATCCTTCTTCTTTTGACGCTGGCGATGGGTGAGGAGGGTGAGGAGGAGGAGGAGGCGGAGGAGGAAAGAGGAGGAGGAGAGGTAGCGGAGAAGGGCGAGTCTTGGCAGGACCAGGTGGGCGAGGTACAAGAGAAGGGATGATTTCCATCCATATCATATGATCTACCTTCGGTCACTGCTCGTATGCCTCCTCGTTGGCTGCCTCTCCTCTGCTTCTGCCTCTCCTCCTCTTCTCTCCTCCTGTCCTCCTCTCCTTTCCTCCTCCTCCTCCTCCTCCTCCTCTCTTCTCCTCCTCCTCCTCTCTTCTCCTCTCTTCTCCCGCCCTCCTCCTTCCGCCCTCTCTCCTCCGTTCCCCCCCCCCCCGCCCCCTTTTCCCCTTATCCCGCTCCGAAGCACCCCTTCCCAGAAGTCATCCCCGGGACCCCCCCAGGGGGTGAGCTCTGACGAGATATTCGGGGAGAACCAAGCCGTGGCGAAAAGAACGCCCGAGGATCCCCCCCCCACGAAGGGCCAGGAGCGCCCGAGAACCTCAACTCTCTGATCTCAATGTTCGATCCCCCTTCCTCCTCGTGCTGATGCCACTGCTGCTCGATCCTCGATCCTCGATCGTCCTCCCATTTTCATCCTCGACCCTGCTCCCTCGGTGGTCCGTCTCCTCCTTGCCCCTGACCTCTGGCCTCGATCCTCCCGCTTCATGCCTGTGCGGCTTCCCCTCTCTGCCGTCACGCGCTGCTCACGCTCGTCCTGTCGTCGGCGTCCTTCGGATCCCCGCTCTTCATGCCTGGCGTCCCCCTTGTTTTTCTCCTCGGGGCCACCCTGCACTGGGACCCTGGCAGTCTAGGACGCTGGCGTGCCCGAGACAGGTGGCAGCCGTGGGCCCAGGCATTCTGCATGCTTCGTTCCCTCGAAATGCGCGGCGGAAGCACACGGGGCCGTCTTTAACGACACTGTTGCGCACAGTGCCGTTTTTAATACATGCTCCGCGTGCGGATCATGTGTTAAAAGTGCAGGGATTTGGTATTCAAAACAACGAGGAGCTCATGCACAAGTTTATTCATACATCAATCACGTGGGACAAATCCAACATTTGTTTCAACAGCCTCTGTATTGACAACTGCCCTGTCAGCTGCCTGCGGAAGGCGCGAATAAGCGCCCTCGTTTCCGAGGCAGCCTGCCGGCGCCGGCGGCCCGTGTGGGCGCCACCGCGCGAGGTCGCGCCCGCCCTCTCGCGAGAAGGCCCGTGCTCCCGCTGCGCCGCCGGAGAGGTGCGCGCGAGGGGCTCGCCCAACTTCGGGGCGCCCGCCTGCTGCTTCGACGTGTACTCGCTGGGGGTCCTGGTGCTGAAGCTGCTGCGCGGGCGCGCCAAGACACAGGCGCCGCGGGGGGGGGGGGAGGCAGAGGGACGGAGGGGAGGAGGAGGAGGAGGATAGGGAGGAGGAGGAGGAGGAGGATGAGGAGCAGGGGAATACATATATATATATATAGAGAGAGAGAGAGGAAGAGGAAGAGGAAGAGGAAGAGGACGAGGAAGAGGAGGAGAAGAGGCAGAGGGTGAGGATGAAGATGAGGACGAGGATAGCCATGTGGATGATATGTTGGTCAATGATTACCATAATGATGGTATTGCTGATGATGATGGTGATACTGCTGATGATGCTGATGATGCTGATGATAATGTTGGTGCTGTTCATGATGAGGATGGTGATGTTGCTGATGCTGTTGATGGTGATGCTGCTGCTGACGATGATGGTGATGAAGGGGCAATGGTGATGATCATGCAGATGGTGACGATGATGCTGGTGATGATGAAGGCGATGAAGAAGACGAAGTCGACGGTGATGATGGTGATGGCGATGCCGATGTTGTTGACGATGGTGCTGACGATGATGCTGCTGCTGATGCTGATTATGATGATGATGCTGATGATGATGACGTGACGATGATGCTAAATCTGATGATTCATATACCGATGCTGATGATGATGGTGATGCTGTATGCTGGTGGGGGATGGGGATATTGCTAACGACGATGCTGATGGAGCCAGGGAAGAGAATGCTGAAGATGCTGCTGCTGCTGCTGATGATGATGATACTGATGATGATTATGATGAGGAGGATGGCAATGACGATGAGGATGGGGATCAGGATCAGGATGGTGATGATGATGTTGATGCTGATGACGGCATTGAGAGACAAGACGAAAGTGGCATTGCACATGTCTCATGTTTTGGCAGCATTCCACAGAGTGTTCCTGGACAGGCTAGTGGCGAAGCTGGCTGCGAGCACCGCGCCGCCTTCGGTGTTGAGTCTGTTCAAAATCTCTGCTTGGCGCCCAAAGAGCACAAGTCGTGGTTGAGTGTAGCATGCCGCGCGAACTGTTGCTGGAAAACATGGTGTTCCAAGGCGCCGTGTGGGGCCCAATGTTATGGTGCGTTTTGTATGCTGATTTTGCAGAGCCGATTTGGACACTCGACTTTAGTCGCTGACGAACTCAACGCGTTCAGGGCGTACAGTTCCGGCGCCAGCCCGGACGTGATCCTCGCGGACACGAACGCCTGCGAACAGGAATTACTTCAGGGGAGCAAGGCGAACTAAGTGTCATTTGGAGCCTGGAAGGAGTCGAAGCATATATTCTTTCATGGTCGCAGCCGCGCAGTGAATTATTTGAACTGTTGGGGGTTCAGCTTGATACGGAGCTTACCATGACAGAGTCGGTGCTCAACTTGGCCAAGGATTGCAGGTGGAAGCTGGAAGTAATTTTGTGGCCATGCAAAGACAATGCTGGTGGCAATTTTGTTCTGTTGTGCAAGGCACAACGTTTGTCTCTCATATTTGATAGAATACAGGACAGCAGCCATATACCACGTTTGCTGGTCATTTCTGGAAGTTCGAGACCAGAGCCAAGAAAAGTAGCTCGAGGCAGCCTGCGCTGGCAAGATAGGTTTTATAGGCCTTCAAGCTCGCGCCCCTATCAACGAGGTGGGACATGTCAGTGTTGGGGTTATTCACCGTTCTGTTTTGGGGAGAGAGAGGCCCAGCGCATGTCAAGCAGTTCGTCAAGCTCGACGTGGCGGTGGCCTGTCAGTAAGACGGGCGACGCTGTTTGCAGTTGATCGAGTTCTTGGATGGGCACTGCAGCGAATTCGCATTTCCAAAGTCGGTATTTGGCTTGGTATCCATTAACTTCTGGCTACCGCCAGATGTTCTGGAGTGGTCGGGCAGCGTGTCAGAGTCCCAGGGCGCATTGCAAGAGCTCGTCGGCACCGCGGCGCAGGCTGATGCTCTGGGCTGGGAACATGTTTTCGGCCCGCGCGCGCCGTGGCACCGGCACCATTGAGAGCACACATATATATATATATATATATATATATATATGTATATGTATACACAAACATATGGACGTATGAATACGCATGTATATACATATATATATATATATATATATATATATGTAGGAGGTTGGGGGGTGAGTCCGACGTGAAACGGAGACCCCCCCTACCGGGAAATCGATTTCGGTTTCGGGTTCGCGTCGTGCGTGCCGTGCGCGCGTGCGGGCGAAAGAAAGCTGCGTGGGCGGGCGAGACGAAATCCTCCTGTGGCTGGGCCGCGGCCGGACCAAATGTTTGTCCTCAGGCGGCCCGTGGCCCGCGGTGTCCCGCCTGTGTCCCGCTGGAGTCCCGTAATCCTCCTGTGGTTGGGTCGCGGCCGGACCAAATGTTTCTCCTCCGGCGGCCGGTGGCGCTCGGTGTCCCGCCGGTGTCCCGCTGGTGTCCCGAATTCCTCCTGTGGCTGGGCCGCGGCCGGACCAAATGATTCTCTTCCGACGGCCAGTGGCGCGCGGTGTCCCGCTGGTGTCCCGAAATCCTCGTGTGGCTGGGCCGCGGCCGGACCAAATGATTCTCCTCCCGTCGAACGGTGGCGCGCGGTGTCCCGCTGGTGTCCCGCTTGTGTCCCGCCGTGGGTTGGTCATTTCAAAACATCGCCGCTTGCGGCGAGGTATCCAATGCAAGTCTGCGTGCAAACCAATATGCAGACCGAAAAGCACATCGGAACGCAAATCGATTTGCACATCCAAATGCAAATCGTAAGGAGCCGTGGGCGCCGCGGCGAGCTTTCCAATTCACGTTGGTATGCAAGTCGACGTACAATCACCACTTTTGCCTATGGCTCCCCCCAAAAAACATCCTTATCACCCGCAGAGTGGTCGTATAGGTGTATGTATGTATGTGTATATATATATGTATGCATCAGCTGTTTTTTTCTCAACCTTCCTTGGTGGGGTCCTCTTTTTGAATAGAGCACTGGGATCGGGTCTTTGTTTTCACTCCTTCCTCCTCAGCCCTGATGCCTCCTGCTTCCTGCTTCCTGCCTCCTCATCCTTCTCTTCTTCCTCCGTTGTTTCTCTTCCGTCCAGGTTGCGCCCCTGGAGGGCTGCGAAGCGCGCAAGGGTCGCCACTGTCGTGGGCCCCTGGCAGGTCCAGCGGAGCGCAGTGGTACGCGGACCCGCTTAGCACCTCGCGGCGCCCTCGGGGGCTACGAAGTGTCGTCTCTTTCGTGGGTTCCTGGGAGGTCCAGCGGAGTGGAGTGGTACGCGGGCCCAGATGGGTCCTCGCGGCGCCCTGCGTGGCTGCGAAGTGCGCAACTGTCGCCACTGTCGTGGGCTCCTTGGAGGTCCAGCGGGGTGGAGCGGTACGCGGACCCAGTTGGGAGCTCGCGGCGCCCTGCGTGGCTGCGAAGTGCGCAACCGTCGTTCTCTCGTGGGCTCATGGGAGGTCCAGCGGAGTGGAGTGGTACGGGAACCCAGTTGGGAGCTCGCGTCGCCCTGCGTGGCTGCGAAGTGCGCACTTGTCGCCACGTTTGTGGGTTCCTTGGAGGTCCAGCGGAGAGTGGTACGCGGATCCAGTTATGACTTCGCGGCGCCTTCGGGGGTTGCGAAGTGCGCATCTGTCGCCACCGTCGTGGGCTCCTGGCAGGTCCAGCGGACTGGAATGGTACGCGGACCTAGTTTGGACTTCGCGGCGCCGTGCGTGGCTGCGAAGTGCGCAGCTGTCGCCGCTGTCGTGGGCTCTTGGGAGGTCCAGCGCGGACCCAGTTGGGACCTCGCGGCGCCCCGCGTGGCTGCGAAGTGCGCACTTGTCGCCACTGTCGTGGGCTCCTGGGAGGTCCAGCAGAGTGGGGTGGTACGCGGACCTAGTTGGGACTTCGTGTTGCCCTGCGTGGCTGCGAAGTGTGCATTTGTCGCCATTTTCGCGGGCTCCCGGGATGTCCAGCGGAGCGGAGTGGTATGCGGACCCAGTGGGGACTTCGCGGCGGCGTGCGTGGTTTCGCAGTGCGCAACTGCAGCCAGTTTCGAAGGTCTCTGGGAGGTCCAGCGGAGAGTGGTACGCGCACCCAGTTGTGACCTGGCTGCACAATTCGCAACTGCAGCCAATTTCGTGGGCTCCTGGCAGGTCCAGCGGACTGGAATGGTACGCGGACCTAGTTGGGACTTCGCGGCGCCGTGCGTGGCTGCGAAGTGCGCAGCTGTCGCCGCTGTCGTGGGCTCTTGGGAGATCCAGCGAAGTGGAGTGGTACGCGGACCCAGTTGGGACCTCGCCGCGCCCCGCGTGGCTGCGAAGTGCGCAACTGTCGCCACTGTCTTGGGCTCATGGGAGGTCCAGCAGAGTGGGGTGGTATGCGGACCTAGTTGGGACTTCGCGTCGCCCTGCGTGGCTGCGAAGTGTGCATTTGTCGCCATGTTCGCGGTCTCCCGGGATGTCCAGCGGAGCGGAGTGGTACGCGGACCCAGTTGTGACTTGGCTGCAAAATGCGCAACTGCAGCCAATTTCGAGGGCTCCTGGCAGGTCCAGTGGACTGGAATGGTACGCGCACGTAGTTGTGACCTCGCGGCGCCCCGCGTGGCTGCGAAGGGAGCAACCGTCGCCTTTGTCGTGGGCTCCTGGCAGGTCCAGCAGAGTAGAGTGATTTCGGCGCACCCCCCACACGGTTCGTGGCCCCATAGGGAGTTCCACCGAGGGCCCAAGTGGCAAAGTTCGCATGCAGTTCCACCCCCGTTTCGGCGCACCCCTCACACGGTTCGTGGCCCCCCCCATGGGGAGTTCCACCGAAGGCCCCAGTGGAAAAGTTCGCATGCAGTTCCACCCCCATTTCGGCGCACCCCTCACAAGGTTCGTTGCCCCATAGGGAGCGTCACCGAGGACAGTATTTACCATTGCGTTAGTCACAACTGCAAATGGTTGGATCCTTCGCTAGGATACTTTGGTGGTCCAACGGGTTAGAGGTCGCCCAGGAAAGAGGAGAGGAGGGGAAATGGAGGGAGGAGGAATGGAGGTGGTGGTGGTGTATGTTCTTGGGGCCGTCTGTGGAGCAAGTTCTTCCCTGGCTGAGGCCACGGCCTCCGTTCCTGTGCACCGATGGGCAATCGGGCGGGCTTCCCCGAGCGGGGCGCAAACGACCCTGGCGCTCGTCCGTCCGTCTCGCCCCGCCTTTGATCGACAGGAAAAGGACCCCTAACCCTTTGGGAGTTGACCTCAGTTCGGAGGACCAGCGACATTATAGGGATAGGGGGTGTCGTCTGCAGATGCAACAGACCAAACCGCCCAGAATTAACATCCCTAACTCGAAGACGGGGACCCAAGCGAGGCCACGTCTTCAATCCCCCATTAGGGTTAGGGGTTCTTTCGTTCTCGATGAACCCTCGTCCCTCGAGAGTGTTTTTGTTACCCTCTGGGCTATAACGCACGTTATGCCCCCTACTCTCCCCCCCCCCCCCTACCCACCCCCCATAACGTAGCGCTCCCGCCCTCAGTGCGTCCCTGGCACTGCCGCAGTGCGTCTGGCACCACAGTCTGGGGGGGAGGGGGAGGGGGGGCGCTACGTTATGCCTCCTCCAGTTCCCCCCCCTCCCTTACGGCCGCGCATATAAAAATAGGCTCCTCACCGGCTGGTGACTCTCCAGATGGTGAGGCGCGCGGGCAATATTCGCATTTTCGATGATTGCACTTCTCGTCCACATCCTCTCCAGACCGATTGCATATTTTCACTGTTTACCGGACTGTCGTGGTATATAGCTGGATGCGTCCCCCCCCTTGACTCTCGGGATGAGTTCCTTCAGCAAGGCGGCGCGCAGACTGCTGCAAGGCCGAGTCCGACCGGTCCCATCCCCCTCCCCTTTTCTGCTCGTGGATTCTGGTCTAAACTCCTCTCTCCTCCTCCCTCCTCCTTCTCCTCCTCCCCCTCCTCCTCCTCCTCCCTCCTCCCTGATCCTTCTCCTCCTCCCTCCTCCTCTGCTCCCACACCCCTCCTCCTCCTCCCTCTCCTCCTCTGCTCCCACACCCCTCCTCCTCCTCCTCCTCCTCCTCCTCCTCCTCCTCCTCCTCTCTCCTCCTCCTCCTCCTCCCCCTCCTCCTCCTCCTCCTCCTCCTCCTCATCATCCTCCTCCTCATCCTCCTCCTCATCCTCCTCTGCTCCCCCTGCCCCTTCACCAGGAGCCTCTGGCAGTACACTTCGATTCCGGACTCCGCCATCGTGCCGTGCCGTCGTCGCGCCACGGGAGCGGGGGAGCCCGCAGGAGCTGCTCGAGACCCAGAAGTTCGACCAGATCAGGGACTTCGAGCCCGAGGCCCACGTATCCAGGGAGGATGAGGGAGGAGGAGGAGGAGGAGGAGGAGGAGGAGGAGGAGGAGGAGGAGGAGGAGGAGGAGGGGAGGAGGGGAGGAGGAGGAGGGGAGGAGGAGAGGAGGAGGAGGAGAGGAGGAGGATGATGATGAGAGGAGGATGAGGAGGAGGGAGGAGGGAGGGGGGAGAGGAGGAGGAGGAGGAGGAGGGAGGCAAGGAGGAGGGAGGAGGGAGGAGGGGGAGGGATGAGGAGGAGGAGTCAAGAGGATGAGGAGGAGAGGGGAAGGAGGAGGAGGAGGGGAGGAGGAGGGAGGAAGAGGGGGAGTGTGAGGAGGATGAGGAGGAGGAGGGAGGAGGAGGAGGAGGGGAGGAGGATAGGAGGAGGGAGGAGGAGAGGAGAGGAGAGAGGATGAGAAGAAGGAGGGAGGAGGAGGAGGAGGAGGAGGGAAGCTGAGGAAATGAGAGCGGACGGGAGGAGGAGATGAGGAGGAGGGCGTGAGAGGGGAGGAGGAGGATGAGGATGAGGAGAGGACAGAGGAGGGGGAGGGAGAAAGGAGGAGGAGGGGAGGAGGGAGTGGATGTGGGGAGGAGGAAGTGGGGAGGTGGGCGGAATGAGGGCGGAGGAGGAGGTGGAGGAGGTGGTGGAGGAGGGGGAGGAGGAGGAGGGAGGACGAGGAGGAGGAGGAAGATGAGGAGGAGGGAGTAGGAGGCGGAGGAGATGAGCAGGGAGGAGGGAAGGAGAACAGGAGGAGGGAGGTTACTACGCAGGCCCCTGGACCTCCTTGGGCCTCTCGACCCCTTCTCAGGGGACTAGTCTTCTTCGTTCTCGTATGGTTTCTTGACGGCCCAGGGACCCGGCCCAGGCGTGAGTCGCCCGCCAGAAACGACCAAACGCGTCGACCCACAAACCTCGATCCTGGACCCTCGTCCCTCCAAGGTGACGGGCCTGAGCCTGACGCAGGAGGTTCCCCAGAGGTCCCAAGGTCCAAGCGCCTTCAGGAGCTGAACGCAAGCGCTCGGTCTTCGATCCTCGCTCCTCGAGGGTCCTGTGGGGAGGAGGGGGAAGAGGAAGCGGAGAAGGGATAACGGACGGAGAAGGAGGGAGGAGGAAGTGGGGAGGTGGGCGGAATGAGGGCGGATGAGGAGGAGGAGGAGGAGGAGGAGGAGGAGGAGGAGGAGGAGGAGGAGGAGGAGGAGGAGGAGGGTGAGGAGGGTGAGGAGGAGAAGGAGGAGGAGGAGGAGGGGGAGGAGGAGGAAGGACCGCTTTAAGCCCACGACGCATCAACGATGTTGCAACAAGCACTCCCTCTAAGTTCCCCCTTCCTAGCTCCCGGCAAGAATTTTTTATACTTGCGGGAAGTGTCCCATTAGAAGACAACCGTCTGGGATTCCACCGTCTGAGAAGAGCATTCCAGGGATGTGAGCAACGCGAATCAATGTGGGATTTCAACCACACGAATCCTCAACCAAGCTGCACACTTTCAAGACGAATGTGCGCGGTGCTAAGGCGAGAGCAGCAGTTTGAAAAGGAGGCGCGCTCCATTGTTTAGGCCAGTGCACATTTCCAGGACGAATGTGCGCTGCGCTTAGACGAGAACGACATTTTGAAACTGACCTGCCCGCCATCCTTGAGCATGCTGCACATTTTCAAGACAAGCCTCTGCGGCACCAAGGCGAGAACAGCATTTTGTCATGGAGCCGCCCTGCATCTTTGAAACGGCTGCAAACCTTGACCATAAATGTGCGCGGCGTCAAAGCGAGAGCCACATGTTGACAACCATCCGTCCTCCATGTTAAAGACTTTGCAGGCATGTCGACGAATGTGCGCGGCGCGCCTGCGAGAGTCATATTTTGAAAACGGCCCGCCCCCCATCTTCGAAACTGCTGCACACTGTTAAGACGAACTTGCGCGGCGTTATGGCGAGAGCCTCATTTTGAATATCACCCGCCTTCCATCCGTAGAGCTGCGTAAACGGTGAGGAAGTCTCAGGCGAAAAGCCCCGCCCGTCCTGGAGACACGTCTGGGAGGGCGACAGGGATAAGTTATCCATACGGCTAGCCGATGGAGGAGGAGGAGGAGCAGCAGCAGCAGCAGGAGGAGGAGGAGGCGGAGGAGGAGGAGGTGGACGAAGAACCGGGAGAATCCAGGAGCTCGGTGTTCGGTCCTCGCTCCTCGAAGGC